TTTTTGAGACAGAGTCATAGCTCCAGCTGGCCTGGACCTCACTTGTAGATCAGGCTTGCCTTGATCTCATGGAGATCTTCCTGCCTCTGCCTCCAGAGTGCTGGGACTAAAGGCATGTGCCACCACACCCAGCTTTTTTCCTAATTATTATCACACAAGCAAAAATACTCAACTGATTCAAAGTGATGATCCTTTGACAAGCAAACTACATGTACCTTAATCTTTGGGTATTTCCCTGATACAACACAAATACCAGGCACATCCAAAGCAACTTTCAATAGGAAATTCACACATTTAATACATTCTCTTTCATTGTAGTCTCTTGCCTATTTTGGGGAAGGAATCCTTGACCCACAAGCATTCTAACTATTACACTAAGCAGTAATAATAGTATATTAACTTCAGCTCTTTCCATGACATAACAAAAACAGCCACTACTTACAAGTACCAAAGGATCTTGAGCCCCACCTCTATAATGTCCTATAAAATTTAATACATTAATAGTTTATCAACTGATTTAAGCTATCTTTACTAATTTTCAAATAGTAGGGCATTATATAATATAATAAAGTGATTCACACTTTAAGGGTAATTTCTTTTTAAAGGTTCTTTCAAGTTGAGAAGGTTTATTTTGCACATAAGCTCATCTTAACTCAGTAATACACTGTTATATTTTAAGGTGAGGCTTATCAAGATAGGGAGAGGTAAATCTCCTACTAATGATGCCCTGTGACTTGTGCTGACAATAATATGTCAATGCTTGTCACATGGTATTTGTTTTGCCGTTACTAAAGGAGACATTGATAAAACACTGTCATTTTCCAAGGGCAACAGAGCTTCAGCAAAGCACCCAGTTCACCTAGTTTATTAGCATCTAGGCTGTGAAATATTTTTTGTCCCCACTGTCTCTGTCCTTCATATAAGAAGACTACTAATCACCCACAGTCAGAGGGTTCATTTTTCTAGTGTTTCAAAGCTATTCTTTTTATCTACTCATCCTTGTGATCAATACTATACCACTGTCAGAATTTTCAAGGGCTTAGAGATGCAATCTTTTGACCATATAAAATTTTTATTATTCTTGTAAATCTAACTGAACTATAGAAAGACTCAAAACATGACCTTGAATGTTTCCAAATTCTCTGCTATGTCTGCTATGTTATATAATATTTATTTATTTACAATTTTAGTGCTGGATATTGAACCCAGAGTCATGCTGGGCAAAGAGCTTTACCATTGATTTAGGTCCCCTACTCAGACCTGCTTTAAAATTTCAAATTGGAAATCTTTATTCCCTTATTAACAAGAGATCCAAGGCCACTAACAAGATAACATTGTTTCTGAATTAATAAATGAAAAATAAATATTTAATTACAACCAAGGAAGTATGCTTAATAGTGGCGAACTACTGAAATCACTATAGATACAAAGTGATTAAATTTGTTGTTAAACTAGGCCATTTTCTTTACAATGAGGCTAGGTTTCAAACATTATAAATAAGTAAATATACATCAAGCATATGTTGAAATAATACATAGAATTCACAGGCCAGCAGTGGGGAAATTAGGAGTAGAACTTCAGGGCTAGAGAGATGACTGAGCAGGTCAAAGAACTTGCTTTCAAGCCTGATGATCTGAGCTTGATCCCTGGGGCCCTGGGGAGAGAGCCGACTCCTGCAAGTAGTCATCTGACCTCCGTACATATGCTGTTGCACACATTAAACACACACACATAAAATAAATAAAAATAAATGCAATTTTAAAAATTAACAGAAGAGTATGAATACAGTCCTTGTTCATGTTGTTCCGCTATGACCCACTATGTGGGAATGCGTCATTTATAAAGAGCAGATTTGACGAGCCTTAGGGTGAGCATGAGGAACAAGATGAATTTGTGTCCCTCCTTAGGCTCTGTCACAGAATAAGCCTTTCACTGGGCAGAGAATGATCCTAGTGACAGAGGCATGGTTTTCACCGTTTCTGGTCTCTAAATGTGTGGGAACTATTTACTTTGATGCTTGAAGGACTAAGGCTAAAGGACAACGCTTGAGGAAGAGCTGGCTGACCAAGTCTGAGACAGTATCTTCATTGTTATGATCTTCTAGAGGGTTTTCAAACATGGGTTTTTACCCCATGTGCCAGGCATAGAACCTGACCTTCATGTTACCTACAGCCTCCTGCACATCTCTGTGCCTGGTGCTGTGCTCAGTAACTGAAAACAATGTGACTGACTTCATGGTGGGAGTCATGTTTCTAACCAACTGTGACTGTAGGAATTCCTTTCCTGTCTTAGCCCTAGAGGTGAAGATGGACAGACCAGAAGACTCTAAAGGAAAATAACTAGCACAGAAGGGCACCAAGAAGTCCACAGACCAGGTCACAGGGTGATGGAAATAGCATGTTTAGTCTGAAAAAGGAAGGAGATGCAGAGCAGTGGAGTCTTTACCCATGGGACATTGTGTAACATGCTTGGGCATGTTGTTATGCCTTATTCAGAGGCCTACTGTAGAGCAGGACTTAAAGCTCCTTTTTTTCTGAAAGCAGGTAATTTTTCTCTTGCTCTCTCTTCCTGTACTCCTGTCCCTCAAACAACAACAACAACAACAACAACAACAACAACAACAACAACAAAAGGAAGATCAGAGATATATTTCTTATAATTCTGAAGACTGGGAAGTCAAAGGTCAGGTGCTTACATCTGGCCTTCTTGCTGAACTAAAGCAGTGAAGAGTTTGTATGTGTGTGTGTGTGTGTGTGTGTGTGTGTGTGTGTGTGTGTGTGCGCGCTTGTGTAGATAGAGAGGGAAAGGGAGTGAGGGAGAAAACATAAAACTCATTTTTCCTAGGAACTCACTCCTAAGATAATTAACCGGCTCTGGGGACAGTGACCTTAATTCATAGATGCAGGCAGAGTTCCTCTACCCCAATGAGCTCTTATTTATGTATGTATATATTTATTTTTGTTTTGACATGGTCTCCCTGTAGCCTGAAGCTAGCTTGAAATTCACTATGTGGAGCAGGTTGGCCTTAATCTCATAGAGATCCACCTGCTTCTGCCTCTCAAGTGCTAGGATTAAAGGTATGCACGACAATGCCCAGCTTAACTCTTTTTTCTAAAAAAGAAGAGATTATTTTTATTTTCATGTGTATGAGCACTTTTCTACATGTATGTTTGTGCACCACATGTTTGCCTGGTGCCTGCAAAGGTCAGAAGGGAAGGTCAGATCCCTGGAACTGGCCACCATGTGGGTGCTAAGTACCCAACTCTGGTCCTCTGCAAGAGCAGCAAATGCTCTTAACCACTGAGTCATCTCTCCAGCCCTGATCCAATCAACTTTAAATGGTCTTGCTTCTCAACACTGCTGCATAAGGGATTAAATTTCATGAATTTGGGGGCAATATTTGAACGAAATAAGGTCATTGATATTAAAATGAAAACAATGACTACATGAAATGTCACTTAGAGCCATTGGAACTATAGTGGCATCACTATAGGGACCCATCACTTCCTTTTCCCTTTATTCTTGGGTTCAATCTCAGGCACTGGAATTTCTGTGTTCTGTATAATACCTTTGTGACATAAGGGAGAGATTCTTCTATGTTCTAACAAAATTATCATAAGGATTTTAAGGGGTTATAGTACAATAGGTTATTTTAATATGGTAATAATGGGCCATTGTTCCTAATAACAATAACAATGTTAACTGTACTAATGATAATTAAGTGCTTGCCGTGCACCAGATCTCCTTTTAATTTCTAACTTACCTGTTACAACAATCCTCTGAATAAGTTATACTATTATACAAGGCAATAGGCTTAGTAGATAAAGTAAAAACTTATCTAGTTATATTTATATTTCAGAGAAATAACAAATATTGTCTGGGATAGAATGATACTAAAAATTATCCATATTGTTTCTCTAAAATTAAGATTTAACTGGTGTTCTATATTTTTATTTGCTAAATGTGATAGTTCTAGCAGGAAGTTGTACAAAATCCCAAGATCATCCAGCTGCAAGAGCTGCAGAGGGGATTGAGACTCAGCCTGATTCAATAATCTTTGTTTTTATCCATTTGAATGTCTTGCCTCTCCAGTAGAAGTGGTGGACCCTAACAAGTGGTAAAGTAATTAGACTGTGGTTGCATAGCCAGGCCTTGAAGTAGGGGTAATGGAAAAGAGAATTTGTGTCTAGAAAAGATTATGATACTCTTCTGGGTTTGTTTTGTTTTGTTTTTCATAAAGTATACTTACTTTTTAGAAAGGAACAGCTCAAAGACATCAGCATCCCTCTTGTGGCCACATATCTTTAGCTGATCTTCAACTACCTGATAACATATAATTAATCTGTCAAACCACATTCCAATGAGCAAAAATACTGAGACATTTGCAGTCAATAACAATATGTCTACAAGGAGATCAAAAGAAAGGCGAATATAGAGGCAACCACTCTAAATTGATAAATTCCAACACTACAATTATATATTATTTACTCATCTTTGTGGTTGAATCTCATTATTCTTAACCTTAGGCACAGATGTGTAAATAATTTTTAACTGGAGAGGAAAAAAAAGTATATATGTTCATACACAGCACAATTAAGTTTTTAATTCTCTGCGAGGTAGGGTATTTTGGCCCTTGAACAATTATTCTTAAATGTTTCTTCATATATGAAGAATTAGTGCTTGAGAAAGTTCCGTATTTATAGAAATATACCAGGGTGGATGTGGAAGGAGTAAGACATACTGCATATTTTTACAGAAGTTTCTTTCTAGGGCCCACCATAATACATTTTGCATCAGTAAATTCTCAACAAATGTCAAATACATGAATAAATGGGCGAATGAACATAATTTTCCTCTGAGTAAATCAATACATTTTCCCTTTTATTCTTCTGGAGTTTGCTTTAAAAATACAGATCCAGCAGCAGCTGTTAAAGTGATTTGCTTTTTCTTTGATAATTACCAAATACATTTGTAGGCCACCTGAGTGAGAACGATATGGAAAAATTAGAGCCTGCCTATAATTTGCCATGAAAGAGTGGAGCTAACAAGACACAGCCAAAGTGAGAGGGATAATTGTTGCAATTCTGGAGTCTACAAACATTGTAATTATCAGAATCAAAACAATCACTAAATTTCTGTGAGGATTTGTTGTGGGTGGTAAGATTGTAATGTCAGAAAGTGATTTATAAGGTTTTGAGAATGGATTTACTATGTAGTAGAGAACTTTAAGAAGAGTTAGGTTGAGTCAGATGAACAAATATTTAAAGTGAGGAAGGTAAATGTCCTAGCAATCAGGGTTGGCTGCAAAGTTACGGTTCTAAACTGATTCCTTGTCAAGCAAGCTGAAGCAAGGGGCTTGGAGAATTTACAAGCTGTGGTTGAGGTCTTTCTATCTGGGTACTTTCGTTGCTGTTGTTTTTAAGACGGGGTCTCCCCGTAGCCCTAGCTGGCCTGGAACTCACTGTGTAGACCAGACTGGCTGTTGATCTCACAGAGAGCTACCTGCCTCTGCCTCTTCAGTGCTGGGACTGAAAGCATGTGCCACCATGCCTGGCTCCTATAAGGTACTTTTTAAAGTTGTTATACAAACTGAATCTTGGGAAAACTCATGGGATCAGGTTTAGGCATTCTTACCTGGGTATTTCAACTTAAATATCTAAACTCTCAGACTGTCCGAAGTACAGGCAACCATAATGTGCCAAAGTTTTTGCATTACTAGGGCCAGGGTAGAATTAAAAATTTTATCTGTTAAAGTTATAATCATACTCTTTTTTTTTCCCCTTACAGCTTTAACATATTCAGTAACAATTTCCAGAGCAAGGATATATCTCTTTCAAAAGTGGCTGTAAATTTTTAGGTTCACAGTTGAATTAATACAGTTATACAAAAATATTTATTATTTAGTATCACATACTGCATGTATGTAAGTGCACCTGTGTCATGCAATGTCTGAGGTCAGAAGAGGGTGTCAGATCCCCTGGACCTGGAATTACAGATGGCTGTTAGCCACCATGTGGTGCTGGGAATTGAACCTGGGTCCTCTGTAAGACCACTCAGTGCTCTTAATCACTGAGCCATCTCTCCAGCCCCATAATCATACTCTTAACTTCACCCAGCTATCATTACTCAGAGACAAACAGTTCAGTTTGCACAGAAAAATCTGTCAATCATTGTTAATCTCAGAAAATTTTCTCTGTGGCTGTGAAATATTCTAGGTAATTGGAGTAGAGATTAAGAAGTACCTCACAATAGAATAGCTGTAGTTGCCAGGCATGGTGGCACATGCCTTTAGTCCCAGCACTCAAGAGGCAGAGGCAGGCGGATCGCTGTGAGTTCAAGGCTAGCCTGGTCTACATAGTAAGTTCAGGTCAGCTGGAACTACAGGGAGACCCTGTCTCTAAAAGACAAAAAAAAAGGGGGGGGGCCGGGAAAGTTGGCTTGGCAGTT